TTAAAAATTTTATATTAAAAATTTAATTGTAGATTAATTTCTTTAAAGATTTTAAGTTATAGAATAAAAATAAAAATTAAATTAAAATCAAATATAAAAATTCAATCGATAAAATAAACTTGTTTAAAGCTAAGAAACTAAAATATTTAATCCTTAAATTAAAGATCGAGAACTCGTAAGAAACAAGTTACTATAAATCTACATAAAACTATTAAAATACTTTTCGATATAAAATGCAAAGTATAAAATTCCCAATTGTTTTTTTATAAAATGCCGATCAGACCTGATACGAAAGTTGATAGACAATTGCGGGAACGTGTAAATTGTTGTAACAGGTTCGAGAGGTTCAAATCCATTAGAGACTACTGGTTCGTGTTCGCTAATTGTCGATTAATTACGGCTAATCATCCACGCCAATTTGCTCCGCTACCACCGACTGCATCACGTGTTGCGCTCACGACCATGACAGATCCGGTCATGTTAATTAGCAGCTATTATAACGATATCATTCTGTGCTAATCGTCGCATGAGATAAACAATCGTGGCAATAAATAACGAGCGCACTTTTGCGTGACGGAAAAATCCGCACGCATACAAAATTCAAGATGGCAACTGTACGAAACGTATGCGATACTCACGTTTGTAGAAAGCTGACTGGTCAACGAGTGCACTTTTTCCTGAGCGTCCAGCAGCTCGCGACGTAGTTTCCTCAGTTCGTGCGCTTGCTTTTCCTCCGCCGAGCTGTACAGGCTGCTCGTAGTCGACACCAGGGATACCGAAGAGCCGTGAACTGAAACAGAATTCCATCCTTCTATAGCGCGTTTCTATTTATTTCAATCTGAAATCTTGATACGGAAAGTCATAATTTTGCGGAAGCTGAATTAATTATTTTTTTCTTCATTGCTATTATTCTCTTTGTTACAGTTCTTCAGTTCCACAGCCTATTTTTAGAAACAAATACAATGTAACGTTAGTTTGTCTTACTTTAAAAAAAAAATCCACTTCAAACTTACTTCAAAAAAAGGTTATAAAAGTCGCGTTTAAGTCAGCATCGTTCAGTTCTTCGCAACGATGATGCTTGAAGTAAATTTTCTACTTACTGTCGTCGTCTTTGTGCACGTGTTGATACAAGTTCGGCGGTTGCCGCGAGGTATGCGTCGGCGTCGGAGACGTCGGCTGGGACCAATGCTGGCCGGTGCATCCCGCCGATCCCACGGGAACGCTGTAATACGGCTCGACGCCGACTCCCATGCCGATGCCAACCTCCTCGCCCACCGACGACGAAGCACCGCTGCCGCGCGCCAGCATCGACGGGTACATCTTCTCGCTCTTAGTGGATCTGCGGAAACACAAGCGCGACGTGTTCACTAGATCCCCCTCGAGGCGTCTCAAAACGGTGCTCTATCAAGCCGAACTCCGGGAGGATCGTCTTTCGGCTTTCGGAGCGCACATCTTGTCGATACCGGCGCATCTAGCTCACGTCAAGTTAAAGTGTCGACGTCGAAGGCATTCGGTATCGAAAGCACCCGAGTCTTATCACCAGTGGATGTTATTAAAGGATCGATACTCCAACTGTCGATATATTCGCTATCTCCGACGTCGAGACTGCTTCCGGTGCGATTCGACTATACTTTAATGACAGCGATGAAAAATGTTATAACTGCAATGCTGCATACTTTGTAAAATAAGTTACCGTGTAATTAATTTTTCTCAAACAGTTGCGACATTTTTCATCGCCAGCGACTTCATTTTATTGCTCGCTATTCGTGTAATGCTGAATAAAATCGTCGTAATGGCACAATGTTAGACAGAAAACGATAGAAGACTTTATTTTTGTATCATTTGCCATTTTTTATGTTTGCTTGCATTAAACGTCTTCATGTTTCAAACTTTTTATCTCGTATTCTTTCATGAAATTTCTTATTACAAATTTTATTCTTACTACTTTAATATCTGATATGTTCGGAAATATTTTCACGAAACTTTAGCTAAATTTTAGTAAAATTGAAGTATTATTTAGACTCGAAATAAAACTACACGGATGAAATAATTTTCACATGATATAATTGGAAAGCGATGTTTACGTTATCGAAGGGGTTATGATAGCGTTTCAAGAAAGGGTCAAGTACTAACAGAGGGTTATTCGAACCAGCAGAGGAGACTTTCGAGTGTCCCGGCTTAGTTCCGTCAATAAAAACACGCTTGTCTACCTGTCGAGTGTGCGCGCAATTAGTTGATCCCAAAAGAGGATTCTAATTAAAAGACAAACTTGCTTCCACGTGATAGGAGCTCGAGGATCACTTCGGGACGATCTTCAGCATCGCACACACTCGAGAGTTTGCGGAAATCGCGCGAGGGCTATCGATTCGCGCTGTCATTCCGGAACTTCAATCAATATCAGTATCTTCGAATTAAAATATTGTTCATTTAATCGAACGGAATTATTATTCCAAGATGTGACACTCCTGTCGCGTGACGATGAGTAACAGAATGAGCACACGGCGATTACGTAGCCCTCGGGCCCGGAATATCGATGAAGCATGCATGCAGCTGCAACAAGCAACACCGTCGAACGACGAACTTTGGCGTAATAGGCAACGTCGAATCTGTCGCACGAGTAACGATCAGCGCAATATGTCGAAAACGCGTGGGATACACTCGGTGAATTACATATGCGTGAGTATTACGCGAGTCCTGTAAATCCTTGGAGAATCCCGGAAGGAGGATTCAAAAATCTTAGTCTATAATTCTAGATGCCAAATATTTTATAAGAATCTTTCATAGTCCTCGTTGCCGAATATAAAATCTAGGCTTCTGTATTTAGAAATTTGAAGATTGCAAAAATAAAAAAATCTCAAATCTATAATCCTTGATCCTTTGAAAATTTTGGAGAATCTGGATTTTATATTTTAGCACCCAGCATTACTAAAAATTAAAGATTTTAGAATCTACAATCTTTCTCATTCCAATGTTTTTCTCTAGCTTATCAAAAATCAAAAGTTTGGAAAGTTCTATTTCAAAATTTCATAATAGATGAGTCTTCGAGTCCAAGGATTCGATTAAATCTTGAAGGACTCGCGGGTGCGTGTGAGAGCGACTCATGATGTGTACGTGTGCGTACGTGTGTGTACGACTCTATTGTTTTGATACTTATACGTAGAACACGGGCTCGCCGAATGTGTGCTTTTCGCACTACCTTGGAAATGTCCTGTTCCGCAGGTGACTAGAACGGTCAAAGTATCCTACGTTATTTCACGGCCGGATTGGTTAATTAAAAAGTGAGCGAGAGAAGAGCCAATAAAAGAGAGAATTGCTCGTCAATCGAGAGACTGAATGCTGAAAATGTTCGCGTTCTCTGAACGCAACTGTACATATCGACATTTGCAATCAGATTGTATCTCCCAAATCGACGAGCGATTGACGAGATATCAAAGAATATTTTGTTTTAATTAGAAAATATCCAAAATGTTAATTACAAATATCTCCGAGTTATATTTAATCTAACGAAAATTATTCTCTTAATTATGAGCTTTATGCATCATAGAGATTTCAAATTATCATCGAAAGAAAATACGATAACGACAGTTCGAGGGTTCCTTAAAAATAAGGTCCGAGAAAATTTCTAAATTCTAATTTCTTACCTGATGGAGTTGCTTCTGTTCAGCCTGGGCGGCGCCGGAGATCCCGTGGAGTCCCTTTGGTGCATCAGAAGACGAGCGTGCGTCAGACTCGCGCGATGTGAGCCCAAAGATTCGACGCTGTCCGCCTCGCACAAGCCCATGCCTAAAAGAAATCATCACGGATTCGAAATATAGATAACAGATGTGTAATAACGATCAAGACAATACGCCGAGAATGCGTGGGACATTCGGTTAATTACATTTGCGTGATTAAATATAAGCCCGGCAAAAATCGTGAAACCTACCTAATTCTTAATAAATTATTAAAATAAAATCTGTACAGTAAAAAAATTATAGTAAAATAAAACGCAAAATTCGCGAACGTGTGAATTATAAAGATTGAAATAAAGTACAATTAATCTGTGTTAACAAATAAATCTTTGAGTTTCTAAAAATAAATTTTCTTTGCTATATTTTGCAATTCGTAATAATTTTGTTTAGTTCAAAATAATATTCCCAAATTCCGCAATCCGAAATTGATGAAATTTTCGCTTATATTTTTCGAAAATCACTTACCTTGAGATCGTCCGCTCGGCGTGTAGGTGTTGCTGTGTCTCATCCATGAGGTGGTGTAGGGACTGTTGGGCGTGCCATAATAACCTTGCAGATCAGGTGCAGCGTAATTGCTGCATGTATCACTGAGACTACCGTCAGACGGTTTCAGCACCCGAGGTGAGAATGACGCGCTCGCCGGCCCAACGCCGGTTCCTCTGTCGCGATGGTGAGCGGACGCGAAGAGAGCGGTGAATTCTGGACTGCCGGGCTTCGGCAGGCTCTGGGAGCCCAGCATGAGACGATCGCGTACCGATTGCGAGAGCTGGCTGGCGCTGGGACCCGTAAGACTGTAGCTCTTGTAGTGATGACTCTGACTGGATCCCGAGGAGTTCGCCTGCAGCTCCGTGGTGCACGTCTGCGTGCCACCGGACACTTTGACCTATGCGCAAGAGAGACGAGAAATTTTAATCGAATCTACCCGAGTCAGTGTAGATATAATCATAAATTAAGCGTAAATATTATTCTGTTAAATCTCAAGATTTAATAATTTAAAGATACTGAAAAATATCGAATTTGGCAAACCCAATTATTATTCTTATTTTATTTTGACTATTCTTAACAAAAAGCGATGAGTGATTTAACGATAGAAATCTAATCGCTTGAAGAATTCACAGAAAAATTTTAACCGAGCATCCCGAGATTTGGCAAAGCTAATTATTATTCTTATTTTATTTTGACTATTCTTAACAAAAAGCGATGAGTGATTTAACGATAGAAATCTAATCGTTTGAAGAATTCACAGAAAAATTTTAGCCGAGCATCCCGAGACTTGGCAAAGCTAATTATTATTCTTATTTTATTTTACTATTCTTAACAAAAAGCGATGAGTGATTTAACGATAGAAATCTAATCGCTTGAAGAATTCACAGAAAAATTTTAACCGAGCATCCCGAGATTTGGCAAAGCTAATTATTATTCTTATTTTATTTTGACTATTCTGAACAAAAAGCGATGAGTGATTTAACGATAGAAATCTAATCGCTTGAAGAATTCACAGAAAAATTTTAGCCGAGCATCCCGAGACTTGGCAAAGCTAATTATTATTCTTATTTTATTTTAACTATTCTTAACAAAAAGCAATGAGTGATTTAACCATAGAAATCTAATCGTTTGAAGAATTCACAGAAAAATTTTAGCCGAGCATCCCGAGACTTGGCAAAGCTAATTATTATTCTTATTTTATTTTGACTATTCTGAACAAAAAGCGATGAGTGATTTAACGATAGAAATCTAATCGCTTGAAGAATTCGCAGAAAAATTTTAGCCGAGCATCCCGAGATTTTAAAATCTATACGTTGAGGTTCTAAAATTCAAATATTTTAAAATGTACAACTTAAATTTGTCGGAACAATTTTAGATTCTACAATTCTCGGATCTAAAGTCCCTCAAAAGTCAAGGATCCGAAAAATTTCAGGTAAAATTCTCACAATTCTTTTCAAAGCTGTAGACATTTTAAGAAAGCTCCGCTCTTACATTTTAGAATTTAATAATCGCAACTTTTCCATTACCTTCGTCCTCGGCACGGCGCTAACTTGGGCCGTTCTGCTGGCGTCCTTGCCGCCATTCTGGACACCATTGGGACTCGGAGTGGTGCCTGCGCTGTGCCTTTTAACGTAGCCGAAGCTCTGCGGTACCCCACGAACCTTACTGCTGCTGCTGGTCGATGTGCCCGACGAAACTTTCTGCGGTTTCTCGCCATTCGCATATTCGGCCATGGCCTGTTTCCGATGTTTATCCTGCATTCACAAGGACACGCGATACATACATAATATATTCTAATCCCATTTCCCTTATATACAAAGACCACCGAAATATAAATCAAGAACCGCAAGAACCGAGGATTTTTATTTCCTAAAAAACCTCACCTGCGACCTTCTGGAGGGACTAGGACTCGGGGGCGCACCCTCCTTGTCTCTCTCCCTCGCGGCGCCCGCCTCGATGTACTTCTTCCATTGCTGGCTGTTCGAGCTGCTGCCGGAACCGTTCGTGCCTTGCTGCTGCTGCTGCTGCTGCTGCTGCTGCTGCTGCTGTTGCTGCTGCTGGTGCTGCTGCTGGTGCTTGAAAGCCGAGCTCTCAGTCTGCTGAGAGCTGTCGGACTTCTTCACGTGCGGATGGTGGCCGGCGTGTCCACGTGAGCCCACCACGCGGTACACCAGATTGTGATTGTTGCCCTGCTGCGCCCCTTGGGGGGTGGCCGACCCTCCGCCACCCCCCACAATCACGCCCCCTCCGCCCGGCACTCTCTATAATTCGCAGACACGACGCACGTTAATTTATGATTTTTGTGCATTTTCGTGCGAATATAAATTGCGTTTCATCGGACGATTTATTTTGAAGAAAAATATCGAAAGTTATATTGCAGAATAATTTCGAAAATTATATCAAAGCAACGACAGTGATTTTGAGGTTATTTGAATTTTTATTGCCTTAAATATTTAATCGCGGCTTGAAACGCTGGGAAATAAAATCGATGTCACTGTCATTGTCCGCATAACTAGAGTTCAAGGACTCTGCGTGATACCGGCAATATCGATTCTTGAGCTTGGCAGAAGTCAGAACCCTCGTGGCATGATTCAGAGCATGGGCGCCGCTACGACGCGACGCCACGGCAATTTTCGCCACCGTTCTCGTTCTCCAAATCATTCACTTTCAATGCTCTCCTCCATACAAGAGCAATATCGCGTCCATTAGGAAAGCAGATGCGTAATTTCGTTTTTTACAAAAAGCATAAAAGAATAGAAAAGTACAGTGAATTGGTGATTTTTCGAACAAAACTCCAAAGATGTAATTACTTCGCTGAAGGAAGCGCGCGGGTTTCTCGAAAAGTGTGAAATAAAAAATACAAAAATTTGAACAAATCTTCAGGCAGAAATGTCTACCAAGTGAACTGAGGACGTGTGCCTTATCTACACCTTTCCCCATGCAGAATCGCGAGTGATTCACGAGGGGTGGAAGCGGGGAGGCATCCTAGGCTTTTACGACGGGAATCGTAAACGTAAGCACGGCGAAAAGGCCGTGGGACAAAGGATCTGCGGGTTAAACGCGTTCTCCTTTTCCCGCCGGTCGGCCGTTGCGAAGGAGTGCGCGCACCTTTCTCACTTTTCTCCTATTTCAAATTGCTTCCCTTTATTTAAAAGCAGCAGTTAAAAGCTTCGGCTAAATACTCTCCTTCGGTGACGTGAGATTTTTAATTAAAAGTATTTGATTCAGCAGGCAGACAATTTTAATTATACAAAAGTCGCGTTTTTATTAATCTTCCTCGAAACTCTTTTCACGTTCGCGAAGACGCTCGATCTCGAAGTTTGCTACTTTTCCGTCCACAGATTTTACTTCTAATTCCAGTCGCCGCATATGTCGCCCTTCAAACTCGCCATTTTCTGCCATTCACACGCCTCTTGCTCCTCGAACTCCTATTTTTTTTTCTTATCGGATGCCGAACGTCGCGTAATCAAGCCTGTCGGCAGGAAACAGCAAACATTCGCGCGCCTTTGAAGTGCGCGAGCCGGGCGCGAGAGTTCAAATAAACCGGGCGCGTCTCTTCCGAGTAGATGGTTTTCCGAGACTCTTGCGCGGTATGGCCCGGGGTTTATTTTCCGAAATCCTCGCCGTGGAAACATCCCATTTTTTACGATCGTAAATGCGCGCACCATGACGAGGCGACGACGCTTCGAGCAGCGGCCGCCCCGCCGCGCAGCGCCGCGTCGACCGGAATGATATCGATTGGCCGTCCTGAGGACGATTCTCGAACAAAGGACAATTTCTTCAGCCACATGTTATCTATTTATTTTAGTTTGAAAATGATATAAAAAATATTACTCCTCTGCACAGAGTGTTCTGAAATTATCTCGAGTATACATTAGCCAACACTTTGATGTTAATGTTGCAAGTATAAAATAATGCGGCATAAACAAATGGAATTAAAGACTTTTGTGATTATCCTTACAGAATAAATGCTCTCTTATTTTTCGTTCAATGTTGAAAAGTAACTTTAAATCGGAAGAATCACTCACCATGAGTTTTCTTTTCCACGCGATAAAAATTTATCGGAAATCTTGCTTATCCTTCACATTAAATAAATATTTTTCTACACTGCAATTTTGTCTTATCCGGTACTTTATTCACTATTTTCTTTTTCTGATGTAATCTCTATCTTATAAAAACACTAAAATCTATTCTAGAACTCTTGTTGCACATAAAAAAAATGAGTATTCTGCTATCGTTCTTCATCAGTTCATAAATGATTAATGATAGAAGAGAAAACAATTTTTCAAGATCATTATTTTTGGCACTTATCGCGTGGGATTTTTGCTTTCGCGTTTCATCATAGCTTTCATCGGATAAATTATTCATCGACGTTCATTGGCATCTCGCGGTTAATCGATCGGCGATCGCTATTCCGGGGCCGTTCAAACCGCAGTCACGAAACACCTGAGTCAGCACATCGGAACCAATCGTGTATGTAGTGGCCAGGGACAGCGGAGGTTTATTGCGAGGCGGTTTTTCCCATGAGAAAATTCGGGAGATTCCTGTCAACAGAGATCGCCGATTTCCACCTGCGATAATTTCGAATCCCATTTCACAGTCATAACACGTGTAATATCTGTCGCAACGTTTAAATGCTTTTAAGCGTTTGAGATAAATTTTTTTCGACATTTATTTTAAATAACAAAATTTTCTATTTAAAGTACAAAGTTTATAGACTTATTTCTCACACTTCTCTGTGTGTGTGTTGTGCCATTTTATACGAAATCTATAAGTTCCACAGACAAATTTTTTAATTCAATGCCCTTTTTGTACACTCAAAAAATATTTCGCTGATGTAGTTAGATTTCTAGATATCGCAACAAGAATGTATCGCTATTTTTCGTATCTGTGAAAACATTGTTTGTCACATATAAAATTTATAGCAGTAATGTTCTAGCAATAGCTTCTGAAAAATTTAGGTACCATTGCTAAATGTTATTCATTGCATGATCTAACACGTGATTGATCTTATACAGATAGGCGCTTTAGAGAAACTTTCTTTTTAAAGTGTTAAGAGAGACAACAATTCATTATAGTGCATGATAATTGCTCATTTTATTTGTATTTTCCCGCACTTTCTTTGTTTCCTTTTTATTTGCTATGTGCCTGCGCGAGTGCATTGATTTTTCCGTACATATATATGCTTCGCTACTATCGATATACTCTCTCTCTGTTCTCTTGCATGCTGTACCTTTATCAAGAAGGAATAAAGTCTCAAAACTAAAAGCTGTTTTATAAAAACCTCTCTGCTATATATCAAAATCACATCAGGTTATGGGCCCAGTCGTGCTGGCAAGAAGGAATCAAGAAACTAAAAACAAAGGAAGGAGGAAAAGGAATCGTGAACTATTCGTGCAATATAGGTTAGAATTTGAGTTACTAAAAAGGGAGGAAGCATGGCCTCAGAAGATGAGCGATATAAAGTCCCACTTTTTGATGGAACAAACTACGATAATTGGAAATTTCGAATGGAAACATTACTTGACGAAAAAGAATTGCTAGTGATCGCGCAATCTCCACGTGAACTGGAAGACGAGAGTATAAACGACGCAGCAGGGGTCATAGCAAGAAATCGAGAAAAAATAAAAGCTGTTTTATAAAAACCTCTCTGCTATATATCAAAATCACATCATAAAGTTCACAAACAATACAGATATATATTCTGTTTCTGTCATCTAAACTGATTAAGTAATTACATATGCAATATTACAACAGTTGCTAATCATTTATCTGTTTTAGTTAATTTTTTACACCTAGAAAATTTTAGCTATTATTGCAAGATCATTTTTTTGAGTGTAATACATCATTATGACGTTGATCCCGATTACGCTCGATGATGTCGATTAATTAATTAACTTTTTATTTCCAATTGCCGGTCGACAATTTGGATTACTCTCCGTCACACTAGAAGTGAATTTAGGGGATGAGTGTTCACTACTCTCGCCGGCATTTTCACTCTTACGTTCGGTATTACTTCACCAATTAAGACAATTTACGTTCACCGCGATTTTCACCCACGGATAATATAAAGGGCAGCGCTTTATCACCCCCGCGCCTTCGGCGCCTTCGGTGCACGTTACGATTCCGAACGTAACGTACAGGGCGTCCGAACGTTAACCGCCGACTGCGAGGGTCGACGATTCATTGCTCACCGGCCCTCTCATCCCCACCTCCCCCCCCGGCATACCGTGTAATATTACTAACGGGAGGTGCTCGCCCTCTCCCGAATACTGCACCCGTGTGCTACAAGATGCCGCGGGAAAAACGGCGTGATCCGAGTCGCGATAACAATCCGGAAATTCTCGCGTGCGCTGATTATATCGATATTCCATTACTTGTACATAAATCTAGAATTTTATATATATTAGATAAAATAAAAATACAATTACGGGGTTAATTTGACACGAAAACTCATCATAAAAAAATTCACGGAAAGAACACTTTTGCTGAAAGAAATCGAAAAGTCATGCCAGATACAGATCTGAAAATAAATTTTGTTCGACGATTAAAATTTCTCAATAGAGCACTCGATCTTTTTCACATCGCGGCATAAAGTTTCGACGATCCATCAACCAAGATCGAGTGCTCTATTGATAAATTTTGTTCAACAAGATTTATTTTCAGATCTGTATCTGGCACAATTATTCAGCAAAAGCATTCTTTCCGTGCAAAAATTAACGTTAGCATTAAAAACAATATTGCAAACTTTTATAACTCGGTGAGAAAACTGTTACTAGAATTGAGAGCAAACATATCCCGAGGAGAAATATATATTTAAATTTTCCGCAACGTTGAAATTTTGTAGAATATTCTTGACATGTTTATAAAAGACCGAGAAGGAGCTGGCTGCCTCTTCCTTAATAAAATGTCATATTAAATTGGAAATGTTAGATTATTGCCGCGGGAAGGATTAAGGGGTTCGATTTCGGAAGACGCGGCACTCTGCACGTTCGTTGGCCCTAAATCACCGTTTAATCGACTTGATTTACGCTCGAAAGGGTACAAAAGAGAGGCATTACCCTGGTCAGCGATAAGAAGACCACGCTAGTCGGGTTGCCCGTGCTTCCATTCCCTTATCTCGGAGGGGTTCGAAAACGGTTGTTACACCGGGAACCGATAGCTCTCGTTCGAGATGGGTCTTGCGCGACAGTGAGTGAATCGATACTCCAAGACCGGCGGATTAGAGAGAGGATTATTACGGGAACGGCGTAAAGACATTCCCGCAGGAAATCCACTCCAATTGTCATCATCTTTTTTTCGCCCGATTCGCGCTAAAAGCTTGAAGGAAGGAAAACTCTGAAAATTTCATTTGTTTTTACACAAATGTATCGATGGTGTCTTGTACGGCAAAAGTAGACGCGTGTAAACATCGAGGAGTAAAAATAAATCTCATATTCGTCGTTTCATCCTGTTAGTTTCCGATCCTCGTTTCTTCGCGCCTCCCCGTTCGAGTGTTCCGCCTACGTTCTTACATATTATATATAACTGGAGTAATGTATTGAAGCATGGAAGAGCGATTTCCCCGCGATTGGAATTTATACGCGAGATACCTGAGAAGGATGATATTACGAGGATGAAGAGACGCGGTTCGAGTGTATAATTTCAATTGAATTTAGATAATATAACGCAAATTATAAATCCAACCTTCACCAAATGTTTGTTGTTGCTAAAATTTTGCGAAGCTTCAACTGAATAAAATAGTTGCTTTTAAATGCTGTCAATATATTTGGATATATTTTACGATAAAATAATTATAACAATTTAATCGTAAAGTTATAATAAAATTAAATAATCATGATAAAATCGAACTTTCTATCCAAATTATACATTTCTCTCTAAATGTAATAAATATAATAATGACATATATAGTAAAGTATATTGCGAATTAAATGACAATAAATGTAAAAACAAACGGGATAAAATAAAATAATACAAAAAAATAATTATCTATGTTTTAACAGCATGTTAATCGAATAAGCAATTAGAAAAATGCGCGTAATGAAATATATTGTAATTATTATATAGCTACAGACAAAAACTGCGTAGAATGAAATACGCAATTAAATAAATAATCTGTTTTAAGTTCGAAATATAAGTCCGAGTTATATATATA